CAGCACGAAGAGAGCCGTTTCTGGCCCTTACAGGGTTAGGCAGCATTAAAACCAAACCCAGCGCTGTGGTGATTAGCCGCAGGGTTGTGCTGCGATGTTTCGGTGTCACTTCAATGGCCCAGTTGTGGGGAAGTGAAGGGTGGAGAGAAAGACAATTTCCCCACCTTAGCCACTGAGTATTTGTCTTCTGTAAATTCATTTTTGCCGGCTTATAAGATCTGTAGAACTCCTCTTGGTTATCATAACTGTTGTATCTTTACTGCCACAAAAGACTAGTGTGCACAAACAAAGCGAGTGCTCTCCTTTGTGGCATAGTACACATAATCTAACAGTTAATAAATACTTTCATTCTTTTATTCACTATAATATCTATCTATAAAACCAACTGCATTGCTTGTTCCCACTGGACTGCGAGCATCTTTACAGTCTCATCACCAGTTATGTGATTGGTCACCACAGTGTGACGTCAGGTTGCGAATCTCCAAAAGTACCTTTGTCAAATTTTCGCCACGGGCGACTGCATTGTTTTTTCCCAGCCCCATCGCCACAGCCTAGATGCACTACCAACTTTATTATGAATGGGAAGATTGGCATAGTTGCTGTGATTATAGCCGGCTGATAAACATCTGCCGTACTACTCCATGAACAGCTAAACATAGAACATTAAAAGGTGAGAACAGAAACAAAGCATCGGTGAGGCTTTCTGGTCTGCACTCCTGTTGTAACGGCCTGATTTAACATCACCATGTGGCCTGCAACTCTTCTTCCACCAATTTAAATAATTTACTATAATGAGCCTATTCTGCGTCTCAAACGACCCCCACTTGCTCCTTTACAGCCACCTAAAGAACACAGCAGGCTGCTCAAACTCAAAATACAAAGGCCCACACGTGGCCCCAAAGTGTCCAGATTTGTGCTGAATCCAAGCGATAAACACACAAAAACAACAAAAAGACTGAAATATCCTCCTGATATCAAGCCCTGCACAGCTAAAGCAAAATTTTGAGTGTAATGTAAAAGCTGACAAGTGGAAGCATGACTCTGTGCTTTATTCTCCCCTTCCTGTGGCTTTGAACCTACCCAGACTACTCACTCTAACACTAAGGGGGCAATCATGCCCACATCCATGGCTATTAGTAACACTGCTGATTACAGCACAATCTTCCTCCTCACTCGCCCTCTCATCCTTATTGAGGAATGCCAATAATGCATGTAAGGTGCATACCTGAGCACGTGAGTCCCAAACGTGCAATTATAATATCGCAGCAGGGATTTTTGTATTCTGACTTGATGCATAGTTACAAGACCATAACAAATACAAATAATAATTTCATTACATTGGCCCTGGCTGTAATTACAGTGTCTGTACAATTCATGACCCTGACAGTGCCTCAGGTGACATCACATTCTCCGTTTATGATTTGTTTCTCTCGATATCAACGCAGTGTTTTCATGGACAGTTGTCGATTCAACAAAAATGATATAATGCTATGAAGACAGGAAGCGGTTACAGCCCCAGGGCGTGACAGAGACACCGGCGCTAAATGGGCACTGTGATTTACAGTTTCAACAGTGCTTCATTGTAGATTCTCTCAGCACTTGAATAAGTTGAAATAAGGGGAACTTGTTGTTACCATGGGCAAAACAAAACAGCTGAAGCAGACGGCACCACCTGTCCAAGCTATGCAGGTTACGTAGTTACAGAAGCTGGATGTTTCTACATTACATGAATGTGTAAAGGCACAATACAACTAGAAAGAAGAAGAGAAGAGGAGAAACTGCATGCACTTAATGTGGTAAATGAGACAGAGCATACAAAAGCACTGGTGTTTACACACTCCAGTAAACAGGGTGTCTACAGACTACAGACAAAAAACTTAAATTTAATGCTTTTTAAGACCTTTTCAAGATCAATTTAAACCACATTTAAGTCTGATTTTTTTCTTACTCTTTTCTTCTTTCCCTCTTTCTCCTTTCTTATCCTTTTCATATTTCTTATTCTTATTCTGAGGCTTGCTGAATCAGTGACATCTTTTAAATCGCTTCTTAAAACTGTTCAAAAAAGCCTTTATTTTGTGTTACTCTAATTGCTTGATTTGCTAAACCTCAATGCAATCTACAGGGCAATTAGTTGCCGATTTTGCTTATCTGCTTCAGTGATGCAATTTAATCCTTTTTTTTTTTTTCATATTTTTAAAATTGTCTAGGAGGACAGTATCATTATGCAGATATAAAGATTTATAACATCAGAAATGTGGGCTTTGACACTGAAGAGCTTAACTAATTTTGATTTTAAAAAAACTTTAAAGATGGATAAATTAAATTAGATTACATGTTTGTGCCAATTAAGACCTCAAAATTCAAATTTAAGACTATTTAATGATGTTAAAGGCCTAAAATTTATAAAATTGAATTTAAGATATTTTAAGACTTTTAAAGACCAGAAGAAATCCTGGTAAAAGATGTACCGATTGATGAGTGTAACAGTTTAAGTATTTAGAAATCCCCTAGTACCTTTTAATTAGCATACAGCCAGACGATGCAGTAAATATTTCAGCAAGAAATTTGGTTCCTCTTATGTATTATAAAACATTTTAGCATTTCTGAGATAATGGGTCTAGGTTTGTCATATTTGGACAGTACAGTAGTTGTATCCAGGGGGGATGATATTAAGCTAATAACAGTTCACATATCAGGGGTGCAGGATCAGTGACCTTTAAAAATCTCTGAATCACTTCCCCTTCAAAAATGAAATATAATTAAAAAAAAAAAAAGAACAGGGCACTGCACTTAATTATGAGTGAAGGCTAGGTGACAGTGAATGATGATGGTTTTGGGTGACAAAGCAGTTTCAAATAATGTACAGCAGGCCTTAAAAGAAATGGACCGAGTGCACATAAATACTGTAGCTGCCACCAGTAAACAGAAGACAGGATACTGTAGTAAGATGCAGCTGAGAGACGTGAGGATGACGAATAGATATCCCTCATTTTTAGATGCCTTTAATATATGAAAGTAAAGATTTGAAGGCATGCAGGGGAAGATTTTTAAAAGCAGGAGATTTTGTAGTGAGTTTGTGGTGTGGCGTTAAATAATGGCAGTGTGGTCAACAGATTATACCTTGATGGTTTCTTGTGGTTGAAATAGGAAAATCCTAAAAATCCAGTTTATGTGTTGCTACACATTCAAGTACAAGCAATGTGTACAATAAAAGTAAATATAAATGTGCAGCTTTATTTTGCCTCTGCTTTGCTTTTAACTTCAGTAACAACATCGACTTTTTTTTAAGTTAGTAAATCACATTTTCAGTCACTTTATGGTAGTGTCATTGCTTTGTGAGTGTCAGTGATTGAATCTATGAAGGGAGCTTGTTCAAGCTAAAATGTGGTTTCAGAGTTGCTCATTAGGTTACATTCAATTAGACTTTGTTATATATCTAAATATACAATAATAAAACTATCAGTGCTGCCAAACTGTTGGGTCCAGCAATAGCTGGTAGAGATGTTTGTTTAAACTGTCAACTACCCACTTTAACCCTGTTTACATGAGAGCATGGTGGAGAAGTTTGTTTTTAATTCTTCCTAAAAACAAATAACTTGTTTCTTGACTCACCACAATCAGATTCTATCTAACAACAACAATTAGTCAGGTTTATGCCCCATCACTCAAGGTCACTCAAGGATTTAAAAATTAAAGGGTCACTTCATCGATTTTCAACCAGCTTTGTATCATATCAGTATGGGTCGTATGTGTAAGTGAACTGTAACTACCCTCCATTTTGTCAGTGCCCAGATCTCTCAGTGCAAATGCATCATCCGGTGGATTTATATTGGCTCTTAGGCTGTTGCTCAAACTACAGATTGTTCGCAACTCCCTACCAGAATTATGTCATCCACCAGCAGGAGTGTTTGCTGGTTGGTTGTGGCAGTGAGTTCTGGTACTTGTAGGTTTTCTACCTCTTGAGCAAAAGCAAATGCCTCAGTCCTTTCCTCTGTTTCCTCTGCTCAAGTAACACTCACTTCAATAGCATTTGTGTCTTTCCAGTTTTATGAAAAGACCATCTTTCCAGGAGTGAAATACTTCCTTTACTACAGCATTACAGCACTACACTATTAAGTATTGCCTCACCTGAACGTCAGTGCATGTGATCCAAACATTTTGGCAAAGTGGAACGCATCATACAGTCCACACAACCCAACAAAAAGGTATAACCTAGTTAAATCACAAGAGAATATCTACTATCATTAATGTAATAAGAAGGACATCTATAAATTTGTTGTTATTGAGTACCTTCCTAGGAAAATAAAGTAAAGAGAAACCTTGAATTAAGAGCAATTTGATTTGTGCAGGAAGACAAAAGTACATCAGGATGTGTTGTATAGGCACTTGTGATCAACAAGATGCATGATAAGATTGTGGTTTCTATTGAAACGATCTACAGTGTGTGGTCAAAAGTGCATGATGCAAATGCATTTAGGATGAGTCCAAGTTCACTTTTGTTAGTTAAACGGTGTATAATCTGGGCATAAAAGTAAGGTGCAATGAAAAAAAAGACTGTAATTAGTCCCTTAATTAATCATAGGTGTGTTTTGGGCCTAACACGAATTCAACCATTCAGGCTGTCATCTTCCATTCCCTTTAAAAAGCCAGGTGTGCCTGCACCTGGCACACTGCTAATTACATGACAGATTCAGCAAACTAGAGAAGCTAGCGGTTTTCCGCTAAGAGTAATGCAGTAAGAGCAGTAATATTACTGTAGCAAATATTGTAGAACATTTAAGCAGCAAAACTAAACACTGTAGAAACTAGAGGAAACAAGACTAAACTTTAAGCTTTTGAAATGATCAATGAAGTTATGCTGCTCGTTAAGCAGAAATGTGCACAGCGTTTCTCTTAATGGACAGCAGCTCTGCTCTGCTCTCAGCTATGTTCTAATTTTAGAGATTGTAATGAATATTTTCCATATTATTGATAATTTATTTCCTAAGTATTGAGCCTACTTACTCTCTCTCCTTCTCAGTGAGCCTGTCAGTGATTGTGTCCTTGATGGAGGAGCGTGAACCCTTGTGGATCACCGGATACCGAAGAGGGATCTGCAGGAAGCAGGAAATCATCAGGACCAGGTGCGACGTGTAACCCAGGGCGACTGCCACGCTCCCATCATCCTTTGCTGCAGGACACAGAGCAAAAAAGAAGGTCCAGTGATCACACATTAGATAAAAGTTTTGTTGAACAGATGAGAAATGTATTTATTGTTCCATCAATAGGCTTTAAGACTGATCTACTTAAACACACCAAAGCCCCTGAGCCTATAGTCTACCACAGATGAGTTAAACACAGCAGCATTTTAATCATCCAAAAGTCAGTATTTTATTACAACAACAAGAACTTCAAAGCACACAGCCAGCATTGTCCGTTTTGTTTCCACTTTCACTTTCTTTACACGGAAAAAATAACATGTGTTTACGTAAACCACGTCCACATCATGTGGACAAAAATGTATAAACATCCAACCAATGATAGTTTGGTTACCAAGTATTCACAGGAAGAAGAGCAGCTGCATTCATGTGGGAAAGCATTTTGAAAGTGATACAAAATGTGGCACGGCACACAAAGCACCAGAAAACATTGGGTTGCAGTGGGATACCCAATTTCTTTCAGATATGTGCTTGAGAAGCAAAAGCATCACGTATAAGTATCCCCTCCGAACCCAAATAACTTTTAGGGTGGAAAGCTGGATGCCTTTGTGAACATTTCTGACAGCAAACCATCTCGCTTTAAGTACGAGAAATGGTTTCAAGACAACGCACTAAGTGGTTTCACATTCTCTAACAGCGGCAGGACACTGCTTGAGGCAAAGACTTAAAATCACCGTGGTTTTTATCTTAATGCGTTTAAATAATAGACTATGGCAATAGTGAGTGGTGGACTCCTTGGCTCACACTGTCTTTTAACACAGAAAATCTGCTTTGTATCATTACTTTTCCTGCATATTCTAGACCATAGCACAAAAAGCACCTGGAGTAAACAGCTTCCTGGCCTCTGGTGCTTTTGGATGATACTACACACTAACAGTATTATCAGGTCAACTAAAGGACACCTTAAGGTGCAAGTGGAGACTGCTGATATCTTGTCAGGCTGAGCTGACAAGTTAAATGTAAAACACTGAAGGGCCTCAGCAGAGTGCCACCCTGTTCCACTCTGACCCCCGGTAGGATTAGGACTCTAACTAACCCTGACCCTGGTCTCTAATGTGGAACATCCTTCGCTGTAGGCCTTTTTAAACTGACCTCTACACCCATACAAACAGTTCTAGACTTGATCGGGCTTTTTCTGGAGCAGACCTCACACTAATGAGAGTAGGGGTGAGCAGTGGGGTAAAATGGAGGGGTAAGACACATGCTTCTCATCTTTCTCTTTCTAAGGTCTCTGCATGATGGACCAGCATTTGCAAGATGTCTACCTGTGAATCTCCACTAAGAGCGAGACATAAGTGAGACATTAGCAGCACACGAGCGTCCTGTCATCCAATCCAAACTGACTGAGTCGTTTATAAATGTCTCAGCCAGAGCTAACCTACCTTCACCAGGCTGACTGACAGCAGACATTTACTGCAGAAAAGTAGTTATCATGGCAGCTCCATGGGAAGAAATTAACTGTGTTAGTAGGTCGGTATCACTTAAGAAAATTATGATACCAGTACCAATACCAGTGCCATTAAAGCAGTACTTCATTTGATTCCCATCATGTGACTGGAAGCATTCAGTTGCATGAAATACAACCAGATGCCACAGGTGTGTAGTACAGGCATAATCTCGAAAGGTTTAGATCATCACGCTCAACATCACCACACCACTTTTGGGTCATAGCTGCTGCATCAGTGAGCTAGTAACACCAGGGTTTCCCCACACATTAATTCCACAGTGGCGGCTCGCCACAATTAAAACATCTGCTGCCATAAACAGACTTTCTATCTTTGGAACTGTAGCATTCATGAGGAGCACTGCTGGAATATATATATATATATATATATCATTTGGTTATTTATAGCACCCCACTGTTGGAGCGTGGAGCACAGAGAAGGAGCAGCAGAATGTCAGGCGCATTGAAAGTGAAACTTAACCGTTCATTCTGCTGGGTCTAAAGGTTTGCTTTCACTCACAAACAGCTGGTCAACAGAATAATTATCCACGCCGCCAGTCACAAACTACTGCTGGGGAACATAAACTCATAGAGAGCTCTGCCTGTGTTGCATTCACGGACCTGCAACACCCCCCAGATATGTAAAGGGGACACTGAATGATACATAACATGCAAGTTTGTGTGGTTTCACCAACTGTCCATGCAAATTAGGCTTCACTAAACACGACAAAAACAGACTGGAAGCTTAAAAAACTCTGAGTGAGATGACATGTGACCTCAGAGTGGATTGATAGACTCAATAAAATGGAAGTGTACCCGTTCCTTGAGATGCTCAAGTGACAGACGTCAAACACTTTTAAAAACGCTTTCAGCGGGGATTGGCCGTAATGGTCACAGCAGTGATGATAAAGGGTGAATATTAGTGGCTATATGGATCGCATGATAGCTCATCTCTACATTTCACAAATCACAAGCCACCTAACCAGGAGGTATGGGCAAACGGGAAAATGTAGGTTAGCAGTAAAAGCATTAGGATGATCTCTGTTAGGCCTTGGTATCTTCTGCCACAGCACATGCTCAGTTGTTTACTCACTGCTAGGTGTCCACCTACGTGGGACTGGGAGGCAGAAGCAGACACAGGCCTCCACCTTATGGGAACAAGTGATTGCTGCAAACACAAATGGGCTAGCTGTCACTACTGTGCACTTCACTGTGCCCTTAAAAGATGTAAACAGGTGGAGTGTGACAGCGGGGAGCGGATGAGATTGGGAGTGGTATTTTTGAATTATGAGTTCAGAGGCCTGCTGGGTCTCACCAGCTGTGAGGGAGGGGGAGCTGGAGAATGTTGAGTGGACAAGTGGCAAGTGTGTTCTCAGTATTAGACAAGTGCTGCAGACCAAAGATAACCATTCATTACCTATTTAACCCGCAACCCCCTCAAATCATCTGAGCTACTGAGAGGTCATGAAGTCATCAAGTTTCCCTTGCTGCAACAGCAAACTCCATTCATCACGACACATACAGCGTGACCCTTACTCTTACCTACCACACCAGCAGGATAACAAGGGCTTTGTGGCTGAAACTGCCTGCTGACTAAACTTTCTTTCAGTGTTCTGTTGCCTTATACTGTGTCTTTGATATTACATCATGTGGTTATTGTGGTTGTTGTGGAACCCATAACAAAAGCATCTTGTGACAAGACTCTATAAGACTGTGGTAGACTGAACAACTCCTCCTTTAGCATCCAACAAGATCAGAGAGGCTAAGTGTTCAAAAAACAGAGGAATGCAAACTACTTTCAGCAGGAACAGGGGGCTCTTGTTTTAAATTATTATTGAGTACTCACGAATAGAAATCTGATGTAAGAACAGGTTCCGAAATGAAGGCCTAAGCAAAAATGTGGGTGGAAGTTAGAGTAGGCCAACCTTTCTGTGCTGCACAGACTGTAGAGATCAGTAGGGCTGCCCCCGAATAGTCAAAAACATTAGTCGACCAGAAAAGTCATTAGTCAGGAAGATTTCATTGCTTGTTAGGGTTGCTTAGTAACCTCAGACGCAACCTGCTGCAGCGCTCTTGAAAGCTGGCACAAAAAGACGTAAGAGTAGCGCCCAGCGCCCGACCTCACGTTTTCCAGGCTGTTAAAGATGCGGGATGTGTACAGCCCATAATTTCCAGGGCTGGTACCTGCGGTTATTCCACAGGCTAGTTTATAACATGTTGGGCAGGAAATCCAAAGTGTGGGATCATTTTGAGAAGGTGAAGGACGAACCCAAGGTGATATGTAAACTCATCTTCATTGGTCGACTACAAACATGACGTATCATCTGAAACATGGAAGTAGCTACATGCCCATTAGCCCACAGCGTCATTAACAGGCGGCTCGCTCAGTGTGTGACGTGCACTTGTAGATAAAATATAGGCCTATATTAATGAAGGTTCATTAGTACGGTTTTGTATTTCTCTGTAATGTAGCACAGTGTTAACAATGTTACTGATACTATTCTTTCTCACACCTTCAACTCAAACCATTGTGCTGCCCCGCCCAAAATATATTATTTAATAATTAAAGCAGTATTGTAAATTCGCAGACGACTAGTCAACTAATGGTCCTAAATGACGACTGTTGGTCTACTAGGAAAATTCTTAGTTGGGGGCAGCCCTAGAGATCAGCAAAGTTTAATGTTACATATATTGCACTGCATATTTATTCTGTTTATTTTGTCAAAAACCTTCCAAACATCAATAATGCAATTACTCTGTACGTTGAACAAATACTGATGTCCAAATCAAGTACTGACGGCCATCCCTCACAGAAATGCTGAAATTTTATTAATTGACTGCATATGTCTTTTTACTGTGCAGAGGAGAAATCAACTGATGTAAATTAACCAATGTCAGGAGAACAAAAAAGGACACAAACAAAAACACGTGACGAAAACACACCCAGTGAGGTTTGTGCATGCGTGCCTGTTAATAAGAATTCAGAGACTGTCTTTGCCGCAGGTAAGTGGTTACATTGCCAACCTATCCCACACACAGTATCTGAGAGAAGTTGTCATTATGATTTTTATTGTATAGAACTAGCCAGAGTTAAGAGGAACATCAACCTTTCCCAGCTAGTAAAACTGTTGATGATACAATTATGTCATTATGTCTTTTATGCATAAAGATGACATACCGGTAATTATAAAAATTATGTCATTTAAGCACATTAAAGACTATAATACTGCAGCACAGTAACGCCAAATTGCCATGTACAGTAGCCAAACTTATGATATCATAGATACTGTATCTATGAGATCATCAACTTTCAAATTTGCTGCTATTCACCAAGCATTTACATACAGCCACAAGCATTAAAGCAGAGGCAAAGCATTTGTTCAACATGTCTTACCACAGCTTATCCTCCTTTAACCCTGAAACACACCAGCAGGAACATAATAAATTACCTTGAAAGTCTTCAGAGTTTGGCAGCTTCACTCCGCAGATGACATAATCTGACTGATTAGCCTGTGGAGTTAAATAAGAGGTTTCATATTAGAGACAATGATAAACAGACACAGACAGGATGAAACCTTGTGTGGGATCAAATGTAGGCTTTGCCACTGACAGAGGCGCTTGATGTAAATCATTCCATCAATGTCTAGTGGTGTCAGCATTTAGGAGACGTTCACATGTTGTGTCTTGAGCACACACAAATTCAATCCCGCATTCATGGCTACACGTCTATTTGTTTTGGGCTTGTCCACGATTGATATTAACTCAATAAAACTATACAGATCAAGACATCATAACATTTCAATCCATAAAAAAAGTGGAATAACACAGGAAAATAGTATTGAACACACCAACAGAAATGTATTCAATAATTGTTGGAGAAGCTTTTGTTTGCAATGCCAGCTTTCAAGATGACGATCTGTCACAATGTTCACAATGATTTTGGTCTTTTCTTTCACACAGACTGACTTTAAATCTAAAAGATTCTGAGGGACCTGCTTGTGAATCTTGATCTTCAGCTTGTTCCACAAATGTTCTATCGGGTTTTAGCCTGATGATTTACTAGGCTATTCAAACACCTTCAATTTCCTCCTCGGAAACCAACAGAGAGTCTCCTTTACAGCTTGTCTTGGATCACTGTCCTGTCGGAAGATTCCCCTGCATCTCCTGATCATCATCCTGGTGGTTTGCCACAGATTCTTCTCAAGAAATTCCTAGTGCATAGCTCTATTCGTCTTCCCTTTGATAATTTGGATTCAGCTCGTACCATGAAAAGAGAAATAGCCACATACCAAGATGCTTCCACCTCCAAACTACACTGTAATTATGGTATTTAAAGGTCATATGCAGAGTAATTTCTTCTCCTTGAAGCTCCTGGTCAGCAGTTAGATGTTAGCAGTTAGCAATTAGCAGAAAGTTGTTTAAGTGTAACTGCGATGCCGTAATGAGGCTTCAGTCACTGTGCAGTTCTCCAGTTCATATATATTGATAATATTTCCACTCTGTCGCTCTGGTGCTCCATGGTTGCAAAAACACATGCCTCGCCTGCTCACACACTATCGCCCAGGAGACAGTGGTCTAGATGGGCAGGGGAGAGGGTGTGATGTTTAATGTTTTGAGTCCTTCTACTTGGGTCTTTGAGAGAGAGAGAGCCAAGAACCGAAATGCCAAAGCAATTTTCAAGCTGGTGCCTTAAAAGAAAGGACATGACAATTTATACTAGATGATAATGATATGGTCATTTTACATATACTTTTTCAGATTCATTCAAATTCAGAATACTTTATTAATCCCCGGGGGAAATTGTTTTTGTTCCAATGCTCCGTGCAAAGTAGAAATAGAATCCTGTGACAAGCCGCGATACATCGAATTCAATCGATATATCACCCACCCCTACATTAATCAGTAAGACTGCTGTTTTCAACACAATCTTAGATGCCACATGTGAACAGCCCCTTGAAGTTTTAAGTCAATATGCCAAATCTTTTAGTAAAAAAGAATGACTGTTATATTTATCAGGGATGTTAAACAGAAAGGTTATGCTTTTGGATGACCTCCTGAAACACTGCAGTAGAAATAACATTCATCAGAATTAGACATGACTTTGGAAAGGTTGTACAAATAACTATCTGCACCATTTGTGCTTGATCAAAGCCCCAGTTCCGTAACCAGATAATTCTTTGCAGTTGCCTGGTCAACAATGTAGTGTGCAGCGTTGTACCATCAGGTCCAACTCACCACATCAATGGGGTAGATGTAGGAGAGCTCAGACAGGAGCTGACGACAGCGGAAGGTGAGTTGAGCGTTGGACTTGAGGAACTGCTCTCTGGGGAGACAAAACCAGACACATGGACGACACAGTGAGTAACCGGCTGGCAAAAGGAGACAGGAGGCCGCAGTTGCGAGTGCAGGCCGTTGGGAGTGGTCAGGCAAGGGAAGGACTAGAGAAAGAGCAGAGATGAGATCGTAGGGGGAAGGAGTGCAGCTGGAAGAGATGGGAGGAAGTGGAAATGAGCAGCAGAAATTATCCAGGCGGGTTACTGCTCCGCAGGGACCCACTGTGAGGCATAAAGGTAATTACAGTTTAAAATATATATAAGATTCACGACGAACAGACAGGAGACTTTACTTAAGGTGCATAATAGTGTGTGATAGCAAGTTAATGTTGGTCCTTGTATGGATGAGAGCTAAATGACTCAATTTATTGCGATTCAAATGATAAAGCTGTCAAATTACCGGTGATTTCATATCCATAATAGGGCAGTCATTAATAGTTGTGCAGGTCAGCTTGTCCCATTATCAGAACAGGCTGGAGAACATTTGGCAATTATGGCCTGTTAAAAGTGATAAAGTCTGAATGTTTGCCTTGCAGTGACAAGTACTGAGTAAGGTAACGCTGTGTGAGAGTGCATATACAAGTATATTGCTAGGGGTGCCTCAAATGAGACCAGACCTGTATGTGAAACAAGTTGTAAGGGTCTGCTTCTACTCAAAAACAAGTTGTCTGTGCGCTGTGTTGTCCGACCACAACTGAACACAAAAGTGTTCTTGATTCAAACAGCTGGTGAAGAGTTGGTCATCATAGAGATATATCCCTCTACTTCATCATCATAATCCTTTCTCTTCATCCAGAGCCACAACTACCTTTTTGAGCAGCTCTGGAGAGGTCTTTGACTGCTTGTCGGTGGGCCTTGCCTCAAACTCTTATTTCCCGGAGCAGCCTTGATACCGACGTGGCTAAGCTAAGTTGTTAAGCATCGGCTGCAAGGTCAGCCTACCTCAGTTTGATGAGCTCGTCGACCTCCTCTACTGCATCCTCTCTGGGCACTGTGAGCTCAACAATGAGAACGAGACGGAGTGATGCCAACTAAAGCACAAGGTCTGGTCTGAGGTTGTTTGACGTAATTTCAGCTGGAAGGCAGAGCCCTCTGACCTACATCTGCCACCATCTTACAATCGTGTGACCCGCCCTACCACCCAGTATCAAGTTGTGTGAAACCAATTCCAAATGTAAATCATCTATCACATCTCTGCAGCTAAAAAAAGCCATGCCTTGAAATGAATAAATATAACATGACTCTTCCAGGATTTACGCACAGTTCCTGACTGTCAGAGTAACACAGATAATTTGCTGCTTTGTGTGAATGGTGTGTGGGTGTCCTCTACAATACTTACACTACTACTTGTGGGTAATAGCCCATCGTTTCATGCAGATGAAAAGGGATTTTGGGGGGAAAATGGTTATTGAATGTGATGCATCCTCCCATCCATGCTCCTCGCCTTACACTTAAATTTCCTATTTGGCTTTGCCTGTGGTTAGCAGTCTCTTATCATTTCCCTTTCACAGTGTGCGGCAGCTTTATGAAAGAGGAAACAGATTGGTGTGTAATGATCGTTTGATCTGAAATCACTCATGTGTTCAGCAGGCTTTGCTTCATCTAAATGGTTGAGCCCAAGGTGCAAGCCCTTCCCAAACCCTTTTCCCAAAACATGCAAACTCATGCATCCCCTCCACTGTATGCAAAATAGTTTGTGTGAATCTACATGTTAGCTGGCATAAGTGAGCAGATATATGCATGCTGACACGTGATATTTTATTAGGGTATAAGGCACCTCCAAAGGCTCAAAGGTGTTGCAACACAAATTTGTATTTGCAAACCTGTATTCAATTTTCTGATTTTTCTTCAAACTTTGTTTTTGTTGAATAAAAGTTGGATAGTTTTACCACATTTGGCCTGAAACAGTTCTCGAAATGAAACCACGTGAGAGGTTCACAGGGCAAACCTTTGGTGGATCTGCTAACAACTCATTGACATCTGAAACATGACAAGGGGCCTACTAGACACTGCCTTATTGAAAGGGTTCATAATTGGTAACCGCTGGTTTAACCTTTGGTAAGGCTCTGTATTTCATATGCTTACAATAGGTTTTTAATGTTAATCTTGATCTGCAAAAGTACAATGTACAATATTTCCCCCTGAAATGTATTGGAATAGAAGCACAAAGTAAAGCAATGGAAATACTTTAGTAAAGTACATAAAACTGTACTGTAAAAAACCTTCTACTTTGTTACTTTCAACCACTGGTAACCAATGAGGAGCTGGTTTAACATGTTACTGGGACTTAGAAACAACAACAGCAACTGTGTGATGTCATCATGTTAATATGGACCAAAATCTCTTGTTGAATCTATGCTACGAAGAATTAAGGCAGCTCTAAAGGCAAAAGGGGTCCAACCCGGTACTACCAAGGTGTACTTAATAAAGTGGCAAAATCGGCAAACTTGTTGATTTCTGTTGTTGTTTTCAGTTGTAACTGTAACATTTAAAGATATACACTTAAACGCTGTGGTCCGACCTATTTTACGTTTCTGTTGTGCATATCTTATGTACTTTGTTGCTTTGCCATCGTCTTTAATAAACCAAATGTACAACACAGAAGGTAAACAATGTGCTACTGTAGACGGGGTCGCAGCAAAAACGGATTTTAGCCACCTAAGAAACATCAACATCAGCATAATTGTGTGTTACAGGCCTTATTGAATATATGCTCTGCTTTACCTTACACACTAACCGATTGACGCAGCAGTGAAGTTAAATTACTGTTTTTCTCAATGGAGTCTGATGACTGCTTTAACGGCTTTAATTTCCTGTGGGAAAAGGCTGTCTTACAACAAGGTAAAGTGATGAAATTATTCCAAATACAATGTACACTTTAACTGATATCATTATTATTATTTTATTTATTTTTTTGGTGGGCCTCTTTTACGTGGCTAAAAATTATCTAATTGAGGCAGGGTCTGCTCAGGGCCATTTGACTTTAAAGTAAGTGATGCGAGGATTTTCTACCCAGAAGTTAATGTAAATAAATAGTGTGATTCGGCCTTTAACTAGAGAAAGCCTGACTGATCCTGACTGATCCCTTTTAGCCCCTATTTTGTGAGATAAGCTGTTTAGGAGCAGCCGTGAAATATTAAACAGGAATGTGGAAAGGCTGAAAAAGTGTGCATGCTCAGCATAACCTTTCCCCAGCTAAAGGTAAAGAGAAAAAACGTGAAATGAAAAAGAAGCATTTCCATGAAAAAACATCAATGACATGGATATTTCCAAAGAATGGATGTTAGGCAGATGTACAAGTGTCTGTGTTAATTTCCTGTTTGCTGGGTCTCTTGGCCCCTGCTGGCCTTCCTGGGGCTCTGGTTTACCCTCAGTGACTGCCAGGTACTTCTCAAACAAACAAAGCTGTATCCAGGGTCGGCACCCGCCGAACACGTCTCCCCACAGGCCAAGGCAAGCACAGGCCAATAGGCTTTTTAGCACAATGTGCAAACTCTCCGTTAAGAACACATAAATAGACAGCACCAGCCGTAAAAACATCACCTTGTTTTGAAAGGGTAAGGTGGGAGGCAGGGAGCAGGGTGTAGTTCCATCACAATTCAATACCATTGAGCAACACATGGGGTCACATCATTTAGCCGGTTCTGGGTAATGTCAGATGGGGATAAATGCATTTCAAAAGTATTTTTTTCTACACAGACATAAAGCAATATCTAATTACAGGTTTATACATACCTCTTGGCAGTGCATTCCTTCTGCAGCTTGGTTAAAGATTCTTTCTCCTCCTTCAGACTCTCGTGCTGAGCGGAGAACGCTTCCTCTGACAGAGACAGAAAGAAAAAACGAGTCAATTATTAGGTGTGTGTTCTGTTCTGCTATATCTGAACAGCCAGGTGGGCTTGTGTTGGGTTGGCTGCCATCCACTGTTACACTTAAGCAAGATCAAACAGCTCTTTTCATCAGGCCAAAAACCATTTCCTTTTGACACAACATAAAACCAAACAACATGTGTATGCAAATTACAGGATTTGTCAGAGTCTGTAAATACAGAGTTGGGCAAATAAATAAAGTCTGACAGATAAGGGACGGTGATGATACAGCTTGTGGAAGTTTTGCAACTGCAGTATTGGCAAGCTGACAATGCATCAGTGTAGCATAAAGACCCGGAAAAGAAGCAAAGTTTAATTAGAGTTGTAACAGAATATTTCTGTAATCTGCGTTCAGACAGCCTCACATATGGACGGGTAGCAGACAAATGCAAGACAAACATGAATTATGGTTCCACGTGGTTCAAACAAACAGGAGGTTTAACTATCTAATGCACATTAACACACAACCAATCTATTAAAAATAATGTTTTCAATTTTAGCACATAAGTTAATTTTGTTTTGCAGCAATTATTACATACAGTCCCAATTATTATTAAACAGGGAGACAACACTGTCGATTTAAAATATCCAAACCACATATTTGCTACAAATTTTTTCCTGCATTTTCCTCCCACACTCCAGAATAACAGAAAGATGGTTATTTAGTTTTCTATCTTTGTTTAAAGCTGAAAAAGAAAAAAAAAAAAGTATGGAAAACTGTATGTGCTTTGCCAGATGATCCGAGACAATGCTGACCACTATTGGTAATTTGTTTTATTGGTTTATTCTGAGTGCTTTTGATGTTTGTTCTGTTTTTATTGTTTTACCCTTTGTTCTTTGTCCTGTTTGCTTTTATTACTTTTATAATTTGAGTCACCTTTGGTCATGAAATGAGCTGTATAAATAAATCTGACTGACCTTGATAATTATAAAACATTTGGACTGCTGTGCTAATTACAGGGTCTCTCTCTCAGGAGTCTCAAAGGATTGTGAGACTGACCATCAGGTGCAACAGCTAAAGGACCGTGGCTGTCGTATCGGACCGTAGTGTAGAGAGAGCAGAGCCACAAAGCAAAGCTCTTCCTGCCAAAAATCACATATGCTTTACACTCAGACTGTGAATATAAACATCGGTAATGAGGTTTCTCCCCAAGGTGGCTGGCCTCACTCTCAATGTCGAGGGAAAGACCCACGCCATGTAGCAGAAACCTGTTGTCACGTCACCACTCCTCCACAGTAAGATGAACCAAGAGAGGTGGCTCGGTGAAACGATGATGATGCTTTTCAGGTGCCTCTATACGCAGTATTCAGATTTAACTCAAGAGGGCTGAATCATCCCTCAGGAAGAGGAGGAGGAATTTGGTGAGGACAAGAACACATCAAAGTCTGTATACAGGTGTTGGGGAGTACTACTGTGTACATTCAAAAAGCAACATAGAGCCTTTAGTGGCTCCAAAGGTAGCTGCATGAAGTCTGATTAACTGCTGCAAGTGAGGTCAGCATCGGTACGGGCTGAAAGTTTGAAACTGAAAAAACAAATCAAAAAGGAGTGAGCTCACCAGACATCTGTAGCCTACTCCTCAAATAGGCTCCAGGCTAGTGTCTGCAAACAAGCTGCATTGTGGGTAATGAAGGTGGAGGGTTTGACAAGAAAGTGTGTGACATAAAAAAGATGACATCTGTGGTTCTGCTGCATCTGCTTTGACCTTTTTTTTAACCATCCATTGTGAGTACAAGAATAGAGAGCGCTGCAGGGATGGCGATATTTGTTGGCCAGTCTCAACATTAGCATTGCCCTGGTTACTTTGAGAAAAAGTAAGTAGGGTAAAACAGGCTTTGTGACAGACGAATTTCACACATGAACATAACTTTTATGATTTTTAGAGCGCAAACGCAATTGACAGAAGTAAAAATTGGGCTATGAACTGACGGCACTATGGTCATACGACATTACGTCACCAACACAATTAGCCACATTAGAAACCACCTTCTTAAAGATGCAAATTAACTTCACATTCACGAGTGAGGTATTAACTCACGTGTTTTATGTTGTGGTTTTATGTTACATTTTATGTAACTTTATGTCTGAAGCTCTCTTCAGCTTGTGTTAACCACAGACCTTATTTCAGGCTAGTATTTTTATTTTTTTTTAACCAGGTACGTCCCGTTGAGATTAACGATCTCTTTCACAAGGGAGACCTGGCCGAGACAGCAGCACACAAAAAGTTACAGTCAAGTTACAGTTACAGTGAGTGTTTCCACCTTCATATCTCAAAGACTCTCTATGGTGAGTGAATCAACGTTAAACAATGCAGAACGGAATCATAAGCAGATCTTTACAATTCCTGTGACACAGATAAAAAGGCGGAAGTTTTATATGTGCTTTCAAGCACTCGCTCTGGTCGACCATATCATAAGGACTGTACATGTGCACTGAAATATGAGCATGACCTGCAAAGTAGAGGTATAGGAGAGAGAGAGAGATGTATATTGATGATCGTCCTGTTATTTGAAACTTGCAATCAGTTTCAACAAACAGTTCTGCTTCTCAATAACCTACCCTTGTCACCTGTATTCTTTGTTCAGTATAGTGTATTTGATTTATAAGAGGACAGTGTGCAATGACATTAATCATTTACACATAACTAGTAGACGCAATAAATAAAAATAAAATTCAAGGTGCAATGCAGACTACAGTAAATCCATGTGTCTAACATAATAGAAGCAGTATGTATACGCTGCATGGTACAGAATACAATATGAAATGCACAATAACTACATTCTTCTATTGATAATAAACAAGTAAATGTCTACAATGTCTATAATGCTGGGAGTTAACTACTAAAAGAAAAACAAGAAATGTGTTTGTTTTGTCACACCTGCAATCCATCCTCAGTCAAATGGTTCAAATGACAGCAGCTGGCAGAAAAGTAAGTTTTGAGCAATAAAGACGATTCAATCACATTTTAATCAGACGGATCACAGGACCTGATTCTTATCACATACTTCCATTCACATCCATGCTGCTCAAACTGACACCATAAGGGTGGAAGAAGAGATACCTTGACAGAGGCAGAGGCAGAGAGAAAATAAAGGTACTCAGAGGTATCTCCATCAGATTAGTGAGGAAGACGGATCGAGTCAGACAGAGATCAGACAGGCCATCCCTCTGCTGTGAGGGATGACATGAAAACATATTTTAACACCGACTGCGTGGGCCTGTACTGCGCTCTTGCTTTCATGTAATGCCCAGCTTTGTCCTATCTGTTCCATCCATCTTCTCATCCTTTCATCCCTCTAACCTCTTCCAGTTGGTATCGCGGTACGGACAGACAAACTGCAGCGAATACCACGTCAGCGTGCATGCGGCATTCTGGCCTTTTGTGTATCAGAACACTTATCTTCTATATCAAACATGAGTGTTGGGTTTGGGATCCAAAATGTGGTATGGCTTTATAATGCTACAAGGCTCTCCCACTTGAATTTGAAGTTGAAATATTATGATGTGACAATAAATCAGTTGGGGAGCTCACCATAGCTTTTTGATTATTAACATGAGCGAATGTACATTAACAGCCTTTTCCATACATATGTGCTGGCTTGGCTTGACTCGGTTTGACTCAGCACGTCAGCCCAGCGTGGCAGGGATTTGCATCTCCACACAACAGGGCTACCCGCCTGATTGTGTATCTTTGATTGACGACGTGCTTATGCTTGTGGACTAATAGAATGTTTGTCTGTCTGTCCAGCTGGTGTTATTGTGGTCGACAACTTTCTTACTGTCATCTGAACGTACGCCGTATGTCCATCTCCTCCAGCTTTCTTAGTCTTAAGCCCAGTTATGACCAAAGATTCATGACAAGACGAAATCGTTTTAGAATGTTGCAGAGACAGGTTGCAGCAGTGTCAACTGGTCGTCTGAGCTCAACTCAAGCTGGGTGATGGTGTCACCTGCAACTCCGCTGGTCAAATCACCGGCGGCTGGTTTTAGCATGTCACCTGTTTCTACAGCCAATCCACTTGAAGTAAGGCCCGCTGGTCAAGTCAACATGACCACAGACGGCGTGTTCGCTTGCTGCGGCAGGTGCTCCGTACCTGCTGAGCCTTCTGTTTCCATCCTCACGGTGTGTCAATGTCAGATGGTGGGTCGCTGCTGCTGCTGCTCGCTGTATGTGCTTATGCAACGCCCACAAACACATTCTCACTGACTGATTAATTGGCACTGCTTACTTATATTATTGTGGCGTATTTATTATGAATACTGTCCCTCTGATGCTCATTTTGTTTCTGTTTTTAACCACTTCACTATCCTCATTCATATTTTAAAATTATTCAAATTATATTCAGCCACAAGATAAGCCTGAAAAGCTGGAAATCAGAACGGAAGTACAGAATTGTTGCATGGAGATGATACACTGTCTCATCTAATGGGACTGGTGTGAAGCGGCAGGTTTTTAGAACGCTACAGAAGGGCACACTGCAAGTAGTTGCATGTTTCAACTCGTCTTGTCACGAATCTTTGGTCTGAACTGGGCTTCAGAAGCATATGTAGTTCTGCTGGAGAACATCAATCCACCACTTTTTTCTCCAAGTGAGGAAGTAGTATATTCGTAGGTCTCATAATCCAGGTGAAATTCATATACATTTCTTAAGCTCTGGAAGACCCAATCATCACTAAAGTGTACGTCATGCAAGTGAGCCACAAAAAAATTGAATTGTCAAAATTGTCATATTGACATTTAATTTAGTTGTTGATGCACTACGACAACATGCAAGAAAACATTACACCTTCAAAGTTGCTTGTAACCTTTGAGTGGCACAGTTAATTAAATTATCTGCAGGATATGAAATATGCGTCACTCTTCTGACGGTACTTTATTTAATAAAGATGACAAAACCTATCTGACATAACTGCAACCCGCTTGAAAGCAGTCAGGCGCACACTGGCCTG